GGATTTGTTCTAATGGTGTTTGTAAGTAGGATATCATGTCTGCATCTTGTACAGCAATTAACCACTAGGAAGAATGTATACAATGTGTTAATTATTGAAACCGTCCTACCAGTTTGATTTGAAACTGTCTCATTGCTATTTCTCAATAAATTTATAGAAAAAAATAATAATAAAAAATATTTAAATGGCAATGGAATATCCATCTCTGACATAAGTAAACAGAAAGGGGGATATAAATGAAGGACCATTTTGTATTTGTATATACAAAATAGGATAGATATACAGCTACTTTCTCTTAATTCAATGAGAAGAAAGATTTGTACTAATAATGTTTGGACAGGATATCATGTCTGCATCTTTTACTATGAATAACTACTATGAAGACAACAATATGCAATGCATTAATTATTATAACTGTCCTACTAACCTGTTTTGAAACTGTCTCATTATTACTTGTTTCTCAATAAACTTAATAATAAAAAAGAAGAAAAGGGGAATCACAAACATAAACTTAGAAAACTGGCCCATAAAGCTAGGGAGAGGAGAGCTGGCATCAAAACTCATGAGGAAAAAAGAGGATGGAGAGGCACATGAGAGAGATGAAATACGGCATGACAGGTGAAAAGAGAGACAGCATGATTGGAATCTTTCCAGGGCAGCTCCTAATGAGAGGTCAAAACTGCAGAGAAATGAAAATTGAGACATCAGTGAAGTCACTGCTTTTAGTGTGCTCCATCCTCAGACTTCAAATGAAGTTCAATGTGAACAAAGGCTCTTCAACCAATCGAAGAATATGGACAGTGGATTTGCAGGTGGAGAAGATGAAATTTACAATGTTTATGATCGAGCCTGGAGAGGTGATAGAGATGTGGCCCAGAGTATGTATAGGCCCAGTAAAAATCTAGAGAAGGTCACGTGATGACCTAGAAGGCAGAATAAAAACCAACAGATTTGTTCCTGACTAGCAACTTTCTGGTTCTGACTGTAAGAGAGGCCAAGAAGGGCCTGTTCAGTTTAAAGAAGATCCTTTAAGTCTGGACAAATTTTTTGAAGAAGCCAAACAGCATGGTAACTTTAAAAGACCCTCACATAGAACCCACCTCAAGGAACATGGGCATGAAGGCAAGAAGATGAGGAAAGAATAAAACCATCTGTTTTCAAAGAAAACTATTATTCATAACCCTAATGATGCAAGTCATGGGGGGGACTCTTTATATATGGTCAAGACAAAACCACATCTGGGTGCTAGATCGCAGCACTGCTTTTTATTACAAGAGATGGGAGAATGGAAAATTCTACTTTTAATTAATTTTTTTAAGAGAATAGGTTGTGTTTTGCTTCTTGCACCTTTTAAGCACCTAGAGAACATGCTACCCCACACATGGAACTGAGACCACTTCTTTTTGTGTGACACAAGTAGTCTGGGGTAGTATTTTGTGAAAGAACAACTGCTTATAAATAAATGTTACCCCAACCACAATGAAAAAAAAATAATAAAGATGGTACACAATAAAATAATAATAATTTAAAGGTAAAAATTCATAAATGTTAATTAAGGATTCAAAAATGCAGGCCTCATTATTATATTTCTGTAACATAGCTTCTCAGTTATTACAAAAAATAAAATATGGATTACAGCAATAATTATAGATTATTCAGTTTAATAACCCTACGTAAAAAAAAAAAAATTACCAGGAAAGTTATTGTGCTATTTACCTAGCAAATATTGTCTTTTACCAACAACCTTCAGTAAGAAGGAAGAGTTTAATGCCCACTAAGTGTTGAATGTTGATTAAAGAATGACAAGTCACTAATATCCACTATTAGTAACACCTTACAAATATGTTTACATACAATTTCCACAAAATCCAAAAGGATTCTATATTCTCTGAGAAATAGGTTAAAATCTACCAAAAACCTATTCTGCTCTAATACAATGTCTAATCTGAAAAATACTCTGCCCAGTTTTCAAAAATGAGACTATGTAGTCATTATACAATTATAATCAACATACTTTAGAGGCGAGTAATCTATATATTCTCTGATACATGTGAATATGTATTACTGTCTACCACATCAATAATACATACTATATTTTTTTATTTTTTTTTAAATTGTTTTATTTATTAGAGAGAGAGAGAGAGAGAGAGAGAGAGAGAGAGAGAGACCAGCTCAGCCCACCAGGGGGCGGGGCTGGCTGGCATGTGGTGCTGGGGGATTGAACCGCGGTCCCTGATGCTTTGCTAAGCTTGTTCTAAGTAGGTGCTTTAGACCACTGAGCCATCTCTCCAGCCCCTACATACTATATTTTAAGGAAAGTTTTTTTTTTGTTTGTTTTTTGGGAGTTTTTTGGTGGTACCAGGGATCAAACTCAGCACCTTGCACTTGCCAGGCAAGCACTTATTCCACTGAGCTATCTCTATGGCCCCTCTAAACAAAATTTCTTATTTGCCACACTTTCCTATTTTTATAACTTATTCCTAGGAACACCTGCACATTATGGTTAGAGGTATTAACAGAGGCTATTCTACAACTTTACATGATTTTTTTATCCAAAATAAAAAAGTGCATAATATCAGTCTCTCCAGTTAATTCATATGTAAGGTTTTAATAAAATCTGTATCCTTTTAAGTTGAATGAAGACTGTTCATGAAAGACTTCTTCATGTTCTTTGCATTTGTAGGTTTTTCCTGTAGAATAATTTCTTTTATGGTAATTATAAAGTGAAAAGTTGCTACAGGCCTTTCCAGATTTACCAGTAGAGGATTTTTATGTAACATGAATTTGATGTTATCTAAGCATGGAAGTATGTATTCTTTGGTGCCGAGAAAGATGAGAAATTTGATTAAAAGTTTTATCACATTCTGTGCATTTATAGGGCTTTTCTCCAGTATGAATTCTCTGGTGTTTAGTAAGGGTTGAGCTTTGATTAAAGGCTTTACCACATTCTTTACACTTGTAAGGTTTCTCTCCAGTATGAATTCTTTGGTGTCCAATAATGGTTGAGCAATACTTGAAGGCTTTGCCACATTCTTTACATTTGTATGGTTTCTCTCCAGTATGTATTCTCTCATGGTTACTAAGATTTGATCTTCGATCAAATGCTTTGCCACATTGTTCACATTTGTAGGGTTTCTCTCCTGTATGAATTCTCTGGTGTTGAGTAAGTGTTGAACTTTGATTAAAGGACTTTCCACATTCTTCACATTTGTAGGGTTTCTCTCCTGTATGAATTCTTTGGTGTCGAGTGATGGTTGTACAGTATCTAAATGCTTTTCCACATTCTTCACATTTATAAGGTTTCTCTCCTGTATGTGTTCTCTGGTGGCGAGTAAGATGTGAAGTTTGATTAAATGTTTTGTCACATTTTGTACATTTGTAGGGCTTCTCCTTAGTATGAACTCTCTGGTGTTGCATAAGTGTTGATCTCTGAATAAAGGCTTTGTCACATTCTTTACATTTGTAGGGTTTCTCTCCAGTATGAATTCTTTGGTGTCGAATAATGGTTGTGCAGTATCTAAATGCTTTGCCACATTCTTTACAACTGTAAGGTTTCTCTCCAGTATGTATTCTTTGGTGCTGAGTAAGAGGTGAAATTTGGCTAAAGGTTTTGTCACATACTTTACATTTGTAGGATCTCTCTTTAGTGTGTATTCTCTGGTGTTGAGTAAATACGGACTTCTCAATATAGGCATTGCCAGAATCTCTATATTTATAGGATTTTTCTGCAGTATGAAGGGTTTGGTGCTTAGTAATTGCTGAGGTTTGATTAAAAGTCTTGTCAGATGTTTTACAATTGTTAGATTTCTCTTCAGTAAACACTAACTGATGTTCTGTAGGGGTTAAGCAATATTTAATGGCTTTATCATTATCTTTAGATTTGTAGGACTTCTCTCCAATATGAATGCTCTGATGTTGATTAAAGGTAGTGTCATCATCAAAAGCTTTGCCACAGTCTTTACAGTTACAAAGTTTGTCTTGAAAATGAGAATTCTGATGGGTAGTAAGTTGTGAGCACTGGTGAAAAATCTTCCCACAAGTATCATATCTATAAATATTCTCTGAAAAATGTTTACTAGGATTTGAGCCATAGTTAAAGTTTTCAATAATTTTATTACAGGGATAAATTTTTGGTTCAATATGAGTATCCTGGTAATTATGCACAGCAGAGCTGTTCTTAAAGGCCTTCTCATTTTCTTTACATATGTCATGAGTTTTCCAAATATCTATACATGGACTTTGACTATGCATTAATGTATGGATAAATACCTTCCCAGGTTTGTTAAAACTGCATCTCTTGGCATAGGAAAAGGTAGGTTTAATAATCTGCTGTGGACTGCTAAAATGAAGTGGCATAAATTCAGATGTTTTCTGTGATGCTATATGTTCTTGATCTCTGTTGGCAATGAAGTTTTTGTTATTTTCAGTTGTCATACATTGGTGATGTCCATTATGAAAGGGATTCTCATCTTCACACTTAATAGTTTTCCAGTCTTTCCTTACGGGCAAATTGCTAAAGGCACAATTTCCAGATCTTTGATTTATCATTTTTTGAAATGAATGTTTTATTTCCTTCTCTGATAAAAATCCTTGAATATGATACGAAGACACAGCTGAAGAAACAAAAATAATAAATTACTTCATTCAGGCAGATATATACAATCTAATACATTATACTAATCTGATGACTTGGGCAAGATAATAGAATGTGAAACAAAAGGTTTTCGTTTCCTACACGTACATGAATTTAAGAAAACCCTCAGAAGATTACCCAGAACTCTCAAAACCACTTAGAATTTTACAGCACTCAAGTTGAACATAACATTATGAAGAGTCACATACTTGAGGGAAGGAAATTTACCAGCAAAAGTTTTTTTTGTTAACCACAACTTATCCTCTTCTATATGCGACAGTTACTACACAATTCCCAACCATCTTCTTTTCCCTCAGGAAACACAGAGGAAGAGCAAAGCACATATGGACACATTCTGGCTTTCTTGGGGATTGTATTGTCTTCTATTTACCCTTATATGGAGAATAGGAGATAAAAGATACATTGTTCCTATCATCTGAGACCAAATCTAAATAATTAGTACAGCAACAAAGTGAGGAAAGTGTCATAGATAGTCAACAAAAGTAAGAAAGACTTTGGGACCTTAAAAAAATATGACTAAACCTTTTCCACTGAAAAAACACAATGTAATCCTAGGGAGGACTTATATGAAAACAGGTTTAAGAGAAACCAATGTGTCTAGCACAGATGACTGAATGACCACAGACAATGATAAATGATGATTTTCTTATTATTTTCGAGAATGATGATTTTCTTACTATTTTTGTAAGAATTCTAGTTGGTACTTTTTTTTCTTTTTTCTTTTTTTTTTTTTTTTTTTTTTTTTTTTTTTGTATTTTAGGGAAGGGTCTATAGGGTGTTCAAGGTCTCACTACTGGATTGGACTTGTAGTGATCTACCTGTTTACAGCCTCCCAAGAGCTGGGATTACAGGTATGCACCACCACGCCCAGTCTCAACTGCTGTCTCAGTGCACCCCAGGGGCTGCCTAAGCAGGTGCTTTAATCTGCTGAGTTATTTGGCCAGCACTTAGTTGGTACTTTTTCATTTAAACTGCATGTAGATACCATGCATGGTATGCTGTTTGCAAATTATTTTACATAACGACCATTTTATTAGCATATCTGAAGACTGCAGTGTATTAACTATATTTACCATGATGCAACAGAATGTCTCTTGAACTTTTAAAGGTTTATATTCTACAATTTGTATTCCATAAGTAACATCATCTCAAACCCTTCACCAACAATTATAGATCATGGTAACCACCATTTTATTCTCTATGTACCTAAAATCAACTTTTTAAGATCCAATATTATAGCTATCTCTTCAACACAATGACTTATTTTCCCTTGCTATGGATCTTGTAGTACAATTTCTGAATCATTTGGTTTTTCCATTTTTATTTGCTGTTCTCTGTATTTCTGGGAATGAAACACAGGGACTTGGGAATACTAAATATGTGCTCTATAAATAAGCTATACTCTTTGCCTTATTTTTTAAATTTTTGAGCAAATTTCATACTGTTTTACATAATGACTAATAATATGCAGAATGGTTCTTGAGTATACAAATTACAGCAAAAATTTACACAACTTAACAGATAAGGAAAAACATTGTCTACTCAAGGAATAAAACAGAAGAGTAGCTGTTATCCCTTAGGAAAATGACATTTATGAATTTTCAGAGAATTTCAAATAATAATTTGAACTATGCTTAATGAACTAAACAAGAGCACAGAAAACTGAAGGGTCCCAGAACAACCAAAACATTAATGGATAAATATTTTAAATAGAGACAATCCAAAAGGGTATAGGTGAAGAATTCAGTAAGCAGCAGTGCCTGACAGAGACATCTACCTTTAAGTAGCTCAGTTATTTCCAACTAAGAAGACACAGAGACTCAAAATGAACATATTCAAATAAGTTTCAAAGACACAGTCAAAGCAACATAGCAGAAGAAAAATTCTATAAATTTCTCCTCTATGATTATCAGTGGGTTTTTCTTCAGAATTCTTGATACATAGACAGGAACTAAGCAAGACTGACTTAGTTCTGATAAAATAAAAAAAGAGGCCTGGCCAGATAAGCTCAGCTAAGCAGGCACAAGGACCAGGGTTTGATCCTTGGAGTACCATGCTGGCCCCACCCCCCAGGGCATGCTAAGACAGTGAATGAGACTGCTGAGTTATTTGGCCAGCACTTAGTTGGTACTTTTTCATTTAAACTTCATGTAGATACCATGCAGGGCAGCACACATCTGTAATCCCAACGTTTAGAAGGCTGAAACAGGAGGATCACTGTGAGTCCGATCTGTGTAGTGAAACCCTGGACTAAATACAAAAAAAAAAAAAAAAAAAAAAAACAAAACCTGCTAAAAACATGGTATGCAGAAAATGGTCCCTTCTATTTAAAAATAGTAAAAATTTTCTGAGATGAACAACTGCTCAAATAATTCACTACCAGCATGGTGGGGTGGCATGCCCATGTAACCCCAGCACTCAGGAGGCTGAAGCAGAAGGTCTACTCTAAGTTCAAGGCCAGTGTGGGGTACACAGCAAGATCCAGGGTAGCTTGACCTACAAAGTGGGACACTGTCTTTAAAAAAAAAGTTCATAACTACTAGACCCTACTTATAAAAAATGATAAAGTCAGATCTTCTCATCAAAAACTAAGATAATGTTGCACAGTAATACATTAAAGTGATTAATTAAAGTGATATAAAATTTTTTGCATCTGGGGAAATACATACATGTAAGAGTTCTACAGTACTAAAATGAAGGTGCAAAAGACATTTTCAAGTTTACTATAAAATGTGAAGAATAAAAGGACAAAAAACATAAGCAGCTTTTAATATGTATGTAATACAATAGTATTTCTAACACAAATCACAATATTTAGGAGAAATATAAAATTTAATTTTGAGGGTTGGGAAGATACCTCAGTGGTAACTCCCTCAGTGAAATTCAAATTGTCACTTGAAGTTATAAAATGTTTTATAACTTAAAATGCTTTTGATAATCCCCAATGTGATAATAAAATACACACATAAAATAAAAAGGTAACATGAGGAAAGTGAAATTGTCATTCTAAAAATCAAAGAAACACAAATTAAAGCAATTAGAGTAGAAAATAACTACATAAATATTTAACATAAACACAGTATTAATTTCTTCATGTACAGTAACTTGCTTAATAGTTCATGCTCTGTAGTCTAGGTAGGCCTTGAACTCACAACAATCCTGCTGCCACAGCCTCCCAAGTGCCAGGATTATAGGCATACACCACCACGCCTGGCTTAACTTGCTTAAATTTAATCTAAAAATCCAATCAAAAATAATAAAATGGCCATTTGGGATAAATCTTGAAAAATTTAAATTTGTGTCTATAGAAGGCTCTTTTTAGATCTAAGAACATAAAAAGAGAAAGTGATATTACTATGATATTTCACACAAAGTCAGAAAGTGCACAAGTAACCATAAATATATAGGATATAATGCTCTTAAAAATTTGATGTACCAGTTAACCAATTATTATAGATAATTTTCAGCTATGATAATATGCCCATGATAAACTGGCTTTCTGTTTCAATGATATTCATTTTATGGCATAAGAATTTCCAGAGAACATGTATTATAATCACACATATAGTGCTATGTTGAGACAACTTGAGTGAATAAGAATGTAAATGGTATTAGAAAAACCTCTTTACAATGGGATTAATATACTAAACAGGATTAACATAGACACCATTAGACATTGGCACAGATCTTCTGAGACCACTAGGAGCAATGGAAGAGCTGTCAGAGCATGCACACCCTCACAGGTGACAGTGTTAACTTTGGCTGTCATTGTGAATCACCAGTATGATGAACATAGGACAACAGAGTCCTTTTTTGATGCCAAGGGAGATAAATATGATTTCTAAAAACCATTTCCATTAGAACAGAAGTTCAATTCATATTGGTAAACCTGCCTTTCTCCTTGGCCTTTAAGCCTCTCATCTGTGTCCTCTACTTCATTAACCTCTTTAACCTCTACCTACCTGGATGTATGCCTGTTGTCCCTTGACTCTTCACATCCCAGGGTTCCCTGCTTTGCTCCAGAAAGGAGATCAGGTATGGCTTAGTGACAGCTAACCCTGTTAATTGAAAAATGGAACATGGCACTTGCTTTAGTTTATCCCAGCAAATACTGACATTTTTTTTCTGAATAGTGTAGTCGTTAGAAAAGATATGAGAGAAAATTCTAGAAAATTCTTTCCCAAAAATATTTTTAGATATCCATTTGACTATGTAAAAGATTTCTAATTTGTAGCTCCTTAGTTCTACTTTCAACTATCAAAAACTAAATTGGAGGGCATTTGTAGATTAGGAAACAATTTTTACACTATTTAAATTCTAAAAGTATTACGGATGTACAGAAAAGGATGTATATAATACTTCTAGAAAGGAGCATACAAAAGAGAAGAATGACAAAAAAATTCTTGTCTACACTAAGAAACCTCAACTTTTTTCTGTGAAATCAAAACTTGAAGCTCATTCATACAAACCAAAGTTTTCAGGAGTTATTCTAAAAAATAAGAGAGACATTAATGATGATTATGAATTAGGAATTCTGTAGGGAAGTTATATTCACCCAGAGAGAGAAGGTTTTTGTAGTTCTCCACCATCACATCCCTATACAAATTCTGCTGAGCAGGCTCCAAGAATTCCCACTCTTCCATAGAGAAATCAATGGCCACATCCCTGAATGTCAACATTTCCTGAAATACATACATAAATAGGTAAATAAATAAATACCATTTTGATTCTGTGGTCACTGACAGAGCTCCTAATCTGCCCCAATACGAAATGAGTTAAAATTGCATTTGACATAGGTGAGTGATCTTCATTACAAGGCACTCTTTTTGAAATTTTATTTTAAAGAATAAAAACAAGTAGCAGAAACAAAGACAGAAACAGAGTAACAAGTGACAGTATAAATGATATAGAATTTCAAAACAAGAATAAACATTTAACAATGGTTGTTATGTTATGTATTTTCATCATCGAATCTGTTGTTCAGATTAGTAGACACAGAAGCTCCAGTAGCGCAATTGGTTAGCGCGCGGTACTTATATAACAGATTAGTAGACACAGGAATGCATAATTGGTAAAACAATTTAACATTAATGCTTACTTTCAAAGAACCTTATGCATCTAGTATTATCTAATTCTGAGAATAAAACCGTAACACAAAACTCACAAAGCCAGTGCAAACATTGCAATTCAAGTTCAAAATGTACAATTAAGACATGAATTCAGCAACATGTATTTCTGAATATGGCACTCACATTTTAACAGGTAAGCTCCATGTAATTCTAGTAAGAAAGTTGTCATCAATCAGGAGAGTACCTTTCAGATTTTAAAGTTATAACCAATATTTGTAGACCTTATTAAAATGCAGATTATGCAGATTATGAGTCAATAGTGTTGTGGCTTGGGCTTCAGAAAGTGTAGCAAGCTCAGAAGTAATGCTAAGTTCGGAGGCCCAAAGAGAAATAATTTTAGACAGCTAAAAAGGAGCACATCATGAAGACTTCATACATGAAATTAAATGAATACATTTTACGGTATTTACACATTTTATAACAGAAAGTACCGCAATCCTTTCTGAACATATTAAAAACATGAGGGGTAATTCTATTGGTTTTCATACTTTTTTGTTAATACAATGCTTCTGTAATTGTTTAGATTCCTTGTAGGAAACTGGTACATGCACATAATGTACCTTAATTCCCTTTCCTTCTATCTCCTCCCTCCATCTCTTGATATTTTTTGATAGCAATATTTTTCTTCTTACATAGTATATTTTCCAAATATCCACTAAATTGTAAAACCAGAATTTTATAGGTTTATGTCACTTAAAATTTCCATAAAACAAAAAATAATAAAGACTAAAAGAACATGCTAAAAAGTTTTCATAACTGAACATAGCCATGAAAACACATTTAAACAAAACTGATCAGATACTACTTAAATTTTATGCACAAACCTAAAACATTATACAATGTAAGCAGTAAAAATAAAATAAGAGAACTATTTTAAAACCTGTAAATTTATTAGGGGATGATATTCTACTTTGTAATGAAATATCTTACATGATTGTCGTTTGCTTTAGAGAAAGCACAAGGAAGTAATAAAGTAATTTATGTTAGTAATGAAGTAGAATAAAAAGAAAATCTACTATAATCAAAAAGAAATTTTAAAGTCTTACATGTCTCTATATGGTAATTTGAGCAAATACTTGGAAGATAACAGTACACAATAAAATAACCATTGTTAATTTCCTACCATCTTGTTTTAAAATTCTGCAACTCTTTAGTCTCTTTAAAATAAAAAAAGAAGGGGGCCTGCCCCTTAGCTCTGTTCTTTAAGTGGCTGCTTCAACAAAGCCATCAGGCTCAGGTTGCTGTGGTTCGATCCCCACAACTCAAGCCAGCTAGTCATGGCTTGAAGGCATTCGGAGTAAAATAAAAAAAGAAGATCCAGTCCTAGCCCAGGCCCGGTGAGTGTGTGGGAGACCTTCCGGCTACCCTGTGCAGAGGGACCTGCCAGTCCAAGCCCAGGCGCAGCATGGGTGAGGGCCTATTCCACCCCCTTAGGACCCCCACCACCACTCTGTAGCACCCCCAACCCCACCCCACCAGCCAAGTGAGAATTACTGCCATGTTCCAGGGACCCCCAGATCCAGTCCTAGTCCAGGCTTGGTGAGTGTGTGGGAGAGCTTCCGGCTACCCTGTGCCAGTGGGACCTGCCAGTCCAAGCCCAGGTGCAGCATGGGTAACGGCCTCACCCATACCTTTGGGACCCCCTCCCACTACTCCGCAGCACCCCCACACCGCGCCTGCCGAGTAGGAAGTTCTGCCACACTGCAAGAACCCCCAGATCCAGTCCTAGCCCAGGCCCAGTGAGGGTGTGGGAAAGCATCCACCTATCCTGCGCCTGTAGGACCTGGCCTTCCCAGCCCAGGTGCAGCATGGGTTAGACCTTCTTCCACCCACTTGGTCCCCCTCCCCACCACTCCGCAGCACCACCTCCACTCCACCCACCACGAGAGAATTTCTGCTGCATTCTAGGGACCCTCAGATCCAGTCCTAGCCCAGGCATGGTGAGTGTGTGAGAGAGCTTCCGGCTACCTTGTGCTGACTGGACCTGCCTGTCCCAGTCCAGTCGCAGCAAGGGTGAGAGCCTCTTCCACCCCTTTGAAACCCCCGACCACTCCACAGCAACCCACCCCACCCTGTTTGCCCCATGAGAATTTCTGCCGTGTTCTGGGGACTCACAGATCCAGTCCTAGTCCATGTCCGGTGAGTTTGTGGGAGAGTTTCCTCTCCCCTCTACTCCACCTTGTCCCTTTCAGGCTCAGCTCAGGCCTCACATACAGGTCTGGGGTGAAACCCTGCAACTGCAATCCCTGCAGAGACAGCAGGGGACAGAACCATCCAGGTAGTCCAGAAGCAGAACATCTTGCCAGAGGGGCACAACAGACTCAGTCCCAAGGGCAGTAGCAGGAAGGATCTGAGCACAGCAGCCAGAACCAAGCCAGTCACTGCTGGATAAATCCAAACTTTGAAGATATGTGCCTGAACTTCAGTAGATGCTAAGGTTATAACTGCACCAAAGCTCTCCAACAAAGGTCAAAGACAGTGCTACACAAAATGCCAAAGAGAAGGAGCAAAATGCAATCTCAGACCCCAAGCCCACCCATAACAAATGCAGAGGACACTAACACAGAATAAATTGGCAATCATATAGCTGAAATCAATGAATCAATGGCTGTTGAAATAAAGAAACAGCTGCAGAAAGGTATAGAGGACCTTAGATAGGAAATGAAAAAAAGAAATCCCTGAATTAATAACATCTACAGTAAAGACTCATATGCAGAAACATATGGAAAAAACCTAACGGCCACCCAGAACAGGTGCAGAGGACACTAGCTCAGCTCAAATGTATGAATTAATAGCGTCGAAAGTAAATAAGCAACAGCAGAAAGTTATACAGGAACTCAGAAGAGAATTTTCTGAAATAAAAAAAGAATACTCGGAACTCATAGCATCTGAAATAAAGAATCAACTACAGAAACATAGGGAGGAAACACAATCTGAAAAAAACACTGCAGTAAAAGAATTAATAACTACTTCTAAGGAAGACATTAATTAAAAAAATAGAGGAGATAAGAAAAAAGATGAATTCCTTGAATGAGCAATACAGGAAAGAAATAGATCACATGAAGCAGAGTCAAAGAGATATAGAGGAACTTAAAATCTTAATCAGAAGCTGGCAAAACCATTTAAGTGAAAGTTAAGAGAGTTTCAGTTCTTGAACATGCTGGTGCACCTAGTGAAAATGAAAGAAAGGATCTCTCAAAAATCAATGAGGATGCAGGAAAAAATAATGCATCACATGCAAGATGATGCAAAGATGAACAATGTGAGACCAATAGGCATCAATGAGAAAGGAGTCAACACGAATGACATTAAAAAAATTTGGGCAGAAGTAATAGCAGAAAACTTCCCAAATATGAGGAAACAATCTGACATTCACGAAACCAAAGCATAAAGAATGGCAAGTAACCTCAACCCAATGAAAAACACACCAAGACATATAATAGTCAAGATCCCAGAAACTCACCACAAGAATAATACACTGAAAGCCACGAGAGAAAAGAAGCAGATCACATTCAAAGGAAAACCCATCAAAATTAGGGACGACTACTCTTCAAAAACCATGAAGGCAAGAAGTGCATGGAGCAGAGTACTTCAAGTACTCTACGAAAACAAATTCCAGCCCATACTACTATACCCTGAAAAACTCTCTTTCAAGTTTGATGTAGAAGGGAAATACTTCCATGATAAAGAAATAAAGAATTTCATGATGACAAAGCCAACCCTACACAGGCTCCTGAGAGATGTTCTACAGAGGGACCAAAATGATCAGAACTCCACGAATGAGATAAGATGTAACCAACTAATTAGGGCAAACAAAACAGGAGAAAAAGGAGTAAGCAACAGCAGGAAATTAACATGTCAATCGTAAGTCAATACATCTCAATTATAACCATCAATGTAAATGGACTCAATTCACCAATTAAGAGAAATAGACTGGCACAGTAGATTAGGAAACAAAATCCAACAATATGCTGTATACAAGAAACACATTTAACTCATAAAGACATTTATAGACTGAAAGTCACAGGATGGAAAACAATACTACACACTCGACAATCACAAAAAAAAGCAAGGATAGGGATAGCAATCCTGTTCTCAGATAGTCTCAACTTCAAACCAACAATGATCAAGTGAAATAAAGAAGGCCACTATATACTGTTAGGGGAAAAATTCAAGAGGAAGAGGTAACACTCATAAATATGTATGCACCAAACGCAGGAGCACACAACTATATAAAGCAAATCGTAATGGACAAGAAAAATCTAATATCCAATACTACAATTTTAACAGGAGACATTAACACCCCCTTATCTCCAAAAGATAGGTCAACCAGACAAAAACTTAGCAATGAAATAACAAAACAGAACCAGAGCTTGAAACAAATGGACCAGGTGGACATATACAGAGTGTTCCACCCAAGCACATCTGAATACACATTTTTCTCAGCTGCAAATGGGGTCATTTTCTAAAATAGACCACATACTGCTCCATAGGTCATGCTCAAGTATATGCAAGAAAACAGAAATTATCCCATGCACATTATCTGACCACAG